TGTTTAAGTGTTATTTTTCTACTTTTTAAAAAGTAAATTATATGTTTAATTAAACTGAGCTCTATTCTATATATTATGGTCATACATTTGTTTAAATTGAGTTTGCCTTAATTTGTTGATTTTACTAGTGTTAATATAAACAACTACATTAAATTACCAATGACATATGCACTAAACCATGGATTGTATATAATCTACAGTTCTTTCTAATCTCAAGTGAGTATCTCCTCTTCCTCTCCAACTAGCCTCTCCTATCTCCAAGACAGAAGACTGCAGCTACCCCTAATAATTCTCTAACTAGTGTGAGCTCAGGGAATGCACACTAATTTTGATGTCAGCTCAACTAGCACATAATATTGAGAACATGGTTGAAGGAACATAATTTCATGTAATGCATTTCAAGGACAAAGAAATAAAGGAATTCTTAAAATACCTGTGCAACTGCTTCTAAGATCACAGATTTGGAAATAAGAAAATCTGGGATCTAACCTCAGCTCTGACATTAACCAGCTGTATAATCTTTGTTAATTTACTTCACCTTTCTGGGTTTCACTTTCCTCTTTTAAATCACAGCATCACATTAAAGATATCTAAGATCCTTTTCAGCTTGAAATTACAGGAGTAATAATCAAAATATTTAACAACCATAGGGTACTATAAATAATGAATAAAAATAAAAATTTGAAAATATACTCCATTTTATTCTTTAAATACCATAAACCCTTACAAAGTAATATGAGTTGCAGTATACATTATTTATCAAATCATTCTAATAATTACCATCTCAGCTTCTAATTTTTCCTCCAACTTTTAGTCTTTAGTCTTCCCTTATCATCTTCTCTCCCTGCAACTGTTGGTCAGAACGGGAGCCAGACACGGCTGAGGATTCATTTATCCCACTTGCCATAGCCCAAGGCATGTGTCTTTATCTGCCTCACTCCACCAAGGACGTATAAAGAACAGGGAACCCCAAGCAGGCCCATCAGGACACAATTGGTGGCAGCCAGGGAGGCAGCCATTGGTTGGAGCCCAGTTACCAGTAGACAAAAGCAAGAAGAAGAGAAGGTGAAAGGGTAGGAGTGGAGGTTGGGGGGAGAGGCTATTCTCCCCCCGAGGCTTCATCTGCTAAAACTTGTGAGGGGGTAGATGAGTGTGTGTGTTGCAGGAGGGGGCTGGCATAGGCTCCTTGGCCTGGAGACTGGCTATGGAGGCAGAGCGGGGAAGGACAGAGAAGGCTCATGCTCTCACTGGGCGGTGTGCTCTGCTGGCTGTTAAATGGGGTCCCAGGTAGGTTACCTGTTACAGATTTCTTCATGATTACACAGAGCAGCCACACCAACCAGTGCATAAGTAGTCAAATAAAGCAAAGTCCCTGGTCCCATCTGAGGACCATTACCTACCCGGAGGGATGTGTCCTATACCAATATCTTTTCAGGCCTATGGCTCCTATTAACTTCCCTAGCTATGACTTTGACCCAGACTTTGCTTTCTCTTGGGTACAATTAGTCATTTTTCAATGAGTCATACAGAACAGGACTTCCTCATCTCAGCTGTGTGCTTCCCTTTCCTCAGAAATAGATAGATATATACATTTATACATACATACATACATACCAGGATGTCTGCAGCAGTCTCTTTAGCTCTTTGTGCAAGTGTCAACCCAGAAAAGACTTGGAATCACAGTGCTAGAATTTATACTATAAATTAATTTTATTGCTTAAAAGTATTATCATGTTATTTATTAACCAATATGAAAATACTGAAATATTTCAACAACTGCTACAGCCATAATGGTGCTTATAGCGTGACTCTCAGCTCTGAATCTATGGGTGACATCGACAGGAGCTATTAATATAATACAAGGTCGTGGGGCTGCAATCCAGGATATCTGGACTCTTTAGTCCTGGCTTTTCTATTAATTTACTGTGTGACAAGGTCAGACTACAGGAGTTTTTCACCTGGAGCCCTGGCTTCTAGTACATAGATTGACTTCAGAGAGTCTGTGAACACCAAGAAATTCTCCTCAAAATATTGAGTGCTTCTGTGTTTTTCTAGAGAAAAGGATCTCTATTATATAGAGTTTTTACCAGATTGTCAAAGGAGTCCGTGACACAAACACAGCTAAGAATCAACGGAATAGATGGTGGATGCTTTAGGGTTTCTTTTAGTTCTGACATTCTATTAATCTGAGTCTCAGAACTTACAGCCAATGTGACTTTTCTTAGTTGCAGGTTTTTGAGTGTTGCTTTGTGTCAGCACTGTTGGAAGTACTTTATATAATTCATTTAAATCTCGAAGTTTGATATTATCATTGTCAGTTTAAAGATTAGGAACCGAACTTTCCATAGCACCAATCAAAATTGTGATTATTTGTGAGGTTATTTTTGAACGTCTGTCTCCCCCACTGACCAAGAGCCCTCTGAGAGAAAGGCATAAATCTGTTTTGACCGCTGTTGTAGCATAATGTCAAGCACAGCACCTTGTACATAGTGGAATCTAAATAAATACCCACCGAATGAATGAATTTAAATAACTTGCTATAAGATTAAGCGGTAGACTCAGGAGTCAAACTCTTATCATTCGACTATAAAAATCCAATCTCTTGTCAACACTGCCTCTAAGGTCAGACTTCAGATATGTGGATTGGGTACTTCTCAGTCTGAAGGTGGTATTTTCTTAGATGATCTGTGGATTATATCATCAACATCACTTGGGTGCTTGTTAAAAATAGGTTTCCAGACCCCATTCCATCCCTGTTGTCACCAGATCAGGGCAGTTTGAGAGCTCACAGTCTTAGGGAATATTAAAACTAAAATATAGTATTAATAGCTACTCTGAAAGATAATGTAGCTCTATTGCCATATGGAATATTTTTTCTCACTTTTTTTTTCCAGATGAGGAATCAGTGAAAGAATTTTCTCACTTTTTATATGTAATATTTACATAATCAAATTTTTAAAATGAATAATTCAGTTGGATTTTATAAAATTTTTTTAGGTTCAGGCAACAGTAGTTGGTTTTCTAGCAGCTGTGGCGGCGATTATATTGGGCTGGATTCCAGAGGGAAAATACTACCTTGATCATTCCATACTTTTGTGCTCTAGCAGTGTAGCAACTGCCTTCATTGCGTCTCTTCTGCAGGGTAAGTGAATTTATAAATGTCTACTCTGTAGTCTTGCACTTTTAAAGTATTTATTTGTGAAGATGATTTTTATTTACTTTTATTTAAATGATACTTGTTATGAAAACAGCAGAAAAAAAGTTGTCTACAAACTTCAAAAATATTTCAATTACTCCAGATATATTTATATTTCATTATTTATAAAACCTAGTGTAGAACAGGCTTTTCTGAGATTGTCTCCTGGCCTTTGATACTCTAGTATAGTTCCCCTAAAAGATCAGGAAAATAGCCCAGACATTCATTTGTTTCTGTAAATTCAATTAATTGAGAAACTCCTTTCTGGAAACCATGCAGGGGATTTACTGGCTTGTCACTTGACTAATAACAAGTGTTCCAGGAATTCTGAGTTTCAAAAGCAGTCCCTCTGTTAAATATTTTTTTTAAGTTTCAGATTCCAAAGACAATTTCTTCCCTGTTTCTGTGGCAATATAAATATAACCTTATGCTTAAGACAGCATATTGTTGGCCATAGAATTTTAAAGAGCCAGAAGATTTTAAAAATGAACTACATTAGAACTTTTTAGTGGGGCTTTCTTTATATTTATTTATTAATATGAACTTTATACTAGAGAGTTAGCTTTTTATGGAATCCTAATCATAAAGACTTGGTTATTTTTATTTTATAATTGTTATCTTCTCTCCCTTATATTACCAGCAAAGTAAAAATGGAAGATTGTCATGTAAGGTGATTATACAGAACAGCTAACTTTTTCTGGTTAGATTCGGGGAATTTAGGGAATCTTATTAAAATTAAGACCTGACTTCCAAAGAATTTTGATTTAGTACTTAAATTACATTAGGGATAGTTTCTGGTCTTTATATAGAATTGAGTGGAGTTAACCCTGGCCAAAGCAGAATGAAGTTAAGCTACTGGAAAATTAAATTTCTGGTAAAAAAAAAGTTTTGGCATCAGTACACTGTTTCTTTAGGCTCATTTGCTTCTGTTTTCTTTCTGATTTTGTTTCATTTAGAAAGTGTTGTTTAAAATTTTTCAGTCTAACAAGTATTTGAAATGCCTAGGCTTTTCAAAACTATCAAAAATTCAGATTTTTAAAATGCATTTGTTTAAAACTTCTTACTTTGAATAATCTGTGTTCTAATTTTATGACAACCTGACCTTTCTAAGCACCTTAATGTGTAAAGCAGATACTATTAACTGTATTTCATAGGTAAGAAAACTGACCCAGACAGGTAAGGTGACTTGTCCAATTCCATCAGCTTGTTAACAGCAGAATCAGAATTAAACCTCAAGTTTCCTGGCCGGGCGCGGTGGCTCAGGCCTGTAATCCTAGCACTCTGGGAGGCCGAGGCGGGCGGATCGTTTGAGCTCAGGAGTTCGAGACCAGCCTGAGCAAGAGCAAAACCCCATCTCTACTAAAAATAGAAAGAAATTAGCTGGACAACTAAAAATATATAGAAAAAATTAGCTGGGCATGGTGGCGCATGCCTGTAGTCCCAGCTACTCAGGAGGCTGAGGCAGGAGGATTGCTTGAGCCCAGGAGTTTGAGGTTGCTGTGAGCTAGCTGATGCCACGGCACTCTAGCCCGGGCAACAGAGTAAGACTCTGTCTCAACAAAAAATAAATGAATAAACAAACAAACAAATAAATAAATAAAACTCAAGTTTCCTGACTCCCAGCTCTTTCCACTGGACCACGATGCATGTAGAATGTTTCAGCTGAAAAGATACAGATGGCACTGGGTATAGGAGAACTTCCCATATAGATCTTTAAATGTTTTGGAAAAAGAACTCCATACAGTCACACCTTGTTTGATTACTGCATAATATATATTTTAAAACTTTTCTGCTATTGCTTTTTTTTTTCTTTTTACAATGATGTTATGGGAAAGGTAAATCCAGTGATTGAAAAAGCCTCTAGAATATTAAGATGTGAGGCATTGTCTGATGCAAGACAAAAATTCTACTTTGTAAAATTTTGGCTTTATGCAGTAGAGTAAAAAACACTGAGCGAGAGTCACTTACAAGCTATGTGACTTTAGGCAAGAATTTAAACCCTACTCCCTAGGACCTCATTTTTTTTATTATCTATAAAATAAATGTGCTGGAATAAAAACATTTAGAGTCATTTTTACTCTAAAAATGCAGTGAGATTCTGCTCATTTTTTCCCATAGCCATGTTTAGGATTCCATATTGATTTATGGTTAGCACATAAATAAACTAAACATTTAAAATTTTCTCTGTACTGCATCCTCTTAATGAATGTGTTGGCATGAGAAATTCTATATAATTGGGTGTGCATATAAATTGTACCATTTTTCTCCCATTTGTATGATTCAAGAAAATAAGGATGCAAAAGTATTAAGTACAAAGTCAACATTTTCATCTTTTGTTCTCTTATTATAGTTTTATAGACAGAAAATTTGGATTTAAAGAATATCTTTTACAAAGACTATTTCTCGTGGCCTTCAGTGGCCTTCAGTGTTTAAAATTTAATTACATCCTGATTCTTAATACTTCAACACTTTTAAATAATAAAATGAAGCAAGTATTTCTAGCTACCATATGTGAACAAATCTGTTTTTGTTGGTCTTCTTCCCAGTTGCTATGCATATAAATATGACTCACCTTTTTTTTGATGTTTTCATACTTTGTTTGAGGGTTAAAATTAAAATCTTTGGATTTGATACACACAAATACATTACATAGAAGATATACATGTCACTAAATTTGAAATTTTAGCTGTAACGTAATTTTACTAGCTTTTGGATCTCTAGATGCAACATTGAACTTCTTAAGTCTTCTATGATCCCTACTTGGAGTTTGTTGAAAGGCATTTTGCCAAAGCTTCGGGGTAAAGTGTTTTGTTTGCTTTAGTCAGCTTATCTAAATAATCTAACTGGAACTGAAATACTGTTTATCTATACTACATATTTGGTATTTGGGGAATTGATTTTCTTTAAATAAGGGCATAAAAAGCAATGAACATTCTTTCTTCTAGGAATAATAATGGTTGGAGTTATCGTTGGTTCGAAGAAGACTGGTATAAATCCTGATAATGTTGCTACACCCATTGCTGCTAGTTTTGGTGACCTTATAACTCTTGCCATATTGGCTTGGATAAGTCAGGGTTTGTACTCTTGTCTTGGTAAGTTGACTTGAAACTAAATATTATGTGTTATTCAGAGTCTTTTAAAATAAATATTATTACAGCAATGCCATGAATCCATGGTGATCTTCACCTGTATTAGAACTGCTATTTGAGACTGATTAGAATGGTAACTATCATTTATTATATACCTACTATGTGTGTGGTTCTGACATATTTTTTCTCTTCTTATGGAGTTTAAAACTCTATAAGATAAGGATTATCTCTAATTTTAGATGAGAAAACTGAAGATCATAGAAGTTATGTATATTATCCAAGTTTACACAACTACTGGTTCAACAAAGGTTGAACACAGGTTTGTCATACTCTATAATTTCTGCCTTTTCCTCTGCAGCCAGCTAGGAGTCGACCTAGAGTATTCTGTTATGTGTATTGAACTAACTTCTCAGAATATAAGGTTATCGTGGTACTTGAAATTTCCCAATGGGATATTTTTCCCGCATTAGATACCACACCAATTAGCAGCCTCTTGGCAGTTAACAAAAAGAAAAAACGTCACCATGAAAATTAGCCTGAATGCTGTGTGAAGTTGGTGTCATCTTATGTATGTAATTCCTGATAAATAGTGATAGAGTATTTATAGAATCTAATGAATTGTTTTAATGGAAATTTGTACTCTGAGACTACTGTCAATGGGAAATGAATATGATTTGTGAGCAATGGTTAAATGTTAAAAGTTGGTTGTGGTTTCTTTCTTTCTTTTTTTTAAGATGCCAAAAAAAATACGAAGAAAACAGAAGCCCAAAGTAATACAAGAAAAAAAAAGGATAGTTTATAAGCCAAACCAGAGGCAAACATTTATTCACGTACCCCACATATTTTCATGAGTTCTATACAGATTTATAGTATACTTTAAAATAAATTCAAAGTACATTTAGTTCAAAGCAGCAAGGGTCTCAGACTTACATTCTTGAAATAAAGAAAGGACTTTAATCTACCAAAAAGGCAATAATTTTCTATGAATTTCAGAGATATCAGGGGAAGCTTCATTTAGTATATAAAATTGCCTTAAATTATTTAGTGAGTGGCATAAAAACAATATTTAATAAGACTTGATATGTCTGCTCAAGGAGAATTTTTCTCATTTAGAATATAAAGATGCATCACTTAAAGTAAGGTATAAGATGATAAATGATCAATGGCCTAAATATAAGATCTTGTTCCCAAAGGCCTTGGCTTTTTGTTGTTGTCGTGCAATATACGAGGAATAATACATGTTCAAGTATATTCAGGGTAATGCTCAATTCCCTTCTCTCCCACTCAAAAAAAGCACAGAAAATGAACAGTTACATTATTAAAGGGATAATGTTAAATCTGCTCTAATTTATATTATTGGGGTGATAAATTGGTTATACGTTTTTCCTTCTCTAAATTATTATACAATTTAGAAATAGATGCTAAAGTCAAGGATTGAAATATTAGCTTTTGGCTAGTATTAGAAAATGTGGTTTAATATTCTTCTCCTATGCTATTAAATTCACCCATCCACTCACAGGCAGACAGCTGGACAACTTGTAGTGCTCACCCCCTAGGAATAGGCTATTAACTGCTTTGGGGAAGGGAGACAGTCATCAAAAGGCTGGATCCCCAAAGAGAAAGCCAGTAAGGGCATGAGTTAGTGCCCCATTCCCTCATCTTACCAATTAGATAAGTCTTTCCCACTTAGAGGAGGAGGTTAGAGAGAAGAAAAGAATAATAGAAGAGGATGAGGGTTTCTTCCTAATATGAATAAGAGGACATAGAGGGTTAACATAGGGATGGAGGTTTAGTAGTGGTTCTAGGATGAGTTCCCCTATATATGTAGAAAAGAAAGGTATATTATTTGCAGACTTGAGTATTTAAATTACCATTAAGTAATTTGTAACACAGTTCTCAGCTGCTTGCTAAATACCAGGTGTCTCCTCTGCTGAAGACACAGTGGTAAAAAAGTAAGAAAGAGAATGCCATTAAAGAATGTTATCATAATAAATATGACAATTGTTATAACAATACAGAGTAAGTACTATGAGATTACAGAAGACAAACAGCTGTTGAGGAAAATAATATGTGCTGACTTTTTAAATTTTATTTTTTAAGACTTGATCATAATGTGTTACCATCCAAAGCTTTCAATATTTTGAACATTATATGATGGTGCTTTAATAGTTCAACTGGATGAAGAAGTAAAAAAGTAAAATGGAATGTTACTATCACAGACCATAATTTTGAAAATTAATGTTATTATTAAATATTGCTTAGGATTTTCTAGGCCTTTACTTGTTTTCTGAAAGTTGGCTCAAAGTAATTCCAGATGAATTAATTAAAATAGGATCTTTTATATTTCATCTTTTATATTTCATCATTGATTCCCCTAAAGATATTTTTTACTGGGCTACAGATTGATTCTATAGTTAATTTAACAGTTAAAAGTGCTTCTGGAGTGCCAGTGTGTGGATTGCTAAAGTGTCTGCATTGTGAACACTAGGGGGCCTCATAAGATCAGCAGTTGGATGCCTTGTATTTTAATTCTGAATACAAAGATTATGAAGAGGCCTATTTAAATTCTAAGACCCCATTCATCCTGCTGAGAAGCCTGGCTCTTGGAAACAAAGTTTAATTCCTGAACTATTTAATATATTGAAAACTCTTAGCAGTCTTTAGAAATAAAAAGAAGATGTCATGGTAGCTATAGGATTTGGTTATAGAGGCATGTATTATATGTCCCTGAAAGAACTGGACATTAAGAAAAGTCTCATGGGGTCAATTCATCAAGAAGATAAAACGATTGTAAATATATGCACACATTGGAGCCCCTAAATATATGAAGCGATTATTAACAGATCAGAAGGGAGAAATAGACAGTAATACAATAATAGTAGGGGACTTTAATACCCCACTTTCAACAATGGATAGATCACCCTGACAGAAAATCAATAAGGAAACATTGGACTTGAACTACACTTTAGACCAAATGGACCTAACAGATATATACAAAATATTTTATCAAACAGCAGCAGGTTATACATTGTTCTCAGGCACACATGGAACATTGTCCAGAATATATCATGTTAGGCCATAAAACAAGTCTTAATAAAGAAGACTTTAAGAAGATTGAAGAAGAAGATTGAAATCTAAGAAGATTGAAATCATATCAAGTATCTTTTCTGACTACAATGGTATGAAACTAGAAATCAATAATGGGAAGAAAACCAGAAAGTTCACAAATATGTGGAAATTAAACAACACACTCCTGAACAACCAATGTGTCAAAGAAGAAATCCAAAGGAAAATTTAAAAATATCTCGAGATAAACAAAAATGTAAACACAATATACCAAAACCTAAAGGACACAAAAAAAGCAGTCCTAAGAGGGAAGTGTATAGTGATAAGTGCCTACATTTGGAAGGAAGAAAGAGCTCAAATAAACAATGCAACCTAACACCTCAAAGAACTAGAAAAAGAAGAATAAACTAACCTGAAGTTAGCATAAGGAAGGAAATAATAAAGATCAGAGCAGAAGTAAATCAAATAGAACACAGAAGAACTAAAGAATTTCAACTAAACTAAGAATTGATTTTATGAAAAAATAAAATTGACAAAGCCTTAGACTAAGAAAAGAGAGAAGACTCAAATAAAATCAGAAATGAAAGTGGAGATATTACAATGGATGTCTCAGAATTAAAAAAAAGATTATAAGGCACTATGATGAACAATTTTATGCCAACAAAGTAGATAACCTGTAGGAAATACATTTTTAGAAACATACACCTACCAAGATTGAATCAGGAAGAAACAGAAAGCATGAACAGACCAATAACAAATACAGAGATTAAAGTAGTAACTAAAAACCTCACAACAAAGAAAAGCCCAGCACCAGATGGCTTCATGGCTGAATTCTACCAAACATTCAAAGAATTAGTACCAATCCTTAAAATCTTCCAAACGAATAACTAGAGGGAACACTTCCAAACTCATTTTCTGAGGCCAGCATCACCCTGATACCAAAGCCAGACAAAGACACCACAAGAAAGGAATACTATAGGCCAATATCTCTGATGAACATAGCTGCAAAAATTCTCAATAAAATACTAGCAAACTGAATTCAACAATATATCAAAAATATTATACATCATGACTATGTGGGCTTTATCCCTGGGAGGCAAGGCTGGTTTAACATATACAAATCAAGGGGGAGGGTGCGAGGGAAATGAGGGAAGAAAAACTACAAATAGGTGCAATGTGTACTATTCAGGTAACAAGTACACTAAAAACCCAGACGTCTCTGCTATACAATTCACCCACATAACCAAAACGCACTTATACCACTCAATCTATTGGAAAAAAAAAGAAACAACGGAATATAGAACACAGCTTAAACTAAAAGTAAAAAAAATATATGCAGATCAATCAGTGTGATACACCACAGTGTGATAAATAAAATACCTAGTAATAAATTTAATCAAGGAGGTGAAATATCTCTACAATAAAACTATAAAACACTAATGAAAGAAATTGAAGAGGATACAAATAAATGGAAAGATATCCCACATTCATGGATTGGAAGAATTAGTATTGTTAAAATGTTCATGCTACTCAAAGCAATATACAGTTCAATGCAATCTCTGTCAAAATTGTAGTGATATTTTTCATAGAAAAAAATAAAAAGAATCCTAAAATTCATATGGAACTACAAAAGACCCCGAATAGCCAAAGCGATCTTGAGAAAGAAAAAGAAAGTTGGAGGCATCACACTCCCTGATTTCAAATTATATCACAAACCCATAGTAATCAAAACAGTATTGTACTGGCATAAAAATAGACACATAGATTAATGGAACAGAATGGAGAGCCCAGAAGTAAAACCAAGCATATACAGTCAACAAATTTTTAACAACGGCACCAGGAAGACACATGGAGAAAGAATAGTCTCTTCAATAAATGGTGTTGGGAAAACTGGATATCCACATGCAAAAAAATGAAACTGGATCCCTTATCTTACA